TGACTGATGTCCTACGTTTCTATGTAGTGTAGTCAGGAAATCATCCCAAGCACTAAGCTGGAATCCCACCACAGGTAAATGAGTAAGGTTGTATAAAGGATTGTAGTGGGATGTAACCCTGGACCTAATATAGCAATGTAGGTGTTAAAATACTGACAGCAAACCTTAGTGGGAATTTAATTCACCTTAGGCAACAAACAATCTGGTGATGCAAAAGGAAAGAAAGGCTTACATGTACATTACTGATAGAGTTGTGTGTATTTCAGAAAAAAGTCCTTATTTATTAGGATAAGGATTCATCAGATTGATACATTATGTGTAGACTATGCATCTTTTCCTATTAAAGCTTGTTGGTTCAATTTCAAGTGTTTTCAAGTGTATGTCTTTATAGAAATTACACTTTGGAACTTATGGCCTGCATAAGCAGAGTCACAGAGAATCACACGTTTGTGTAGAAATAGTGGTTACACTTGTTGTAGGTGGACAAGTTATCAAAACGTCAGATTTATAAAAAGTTTGCATTATTGAGAATCTCTTCCTTAGGAATCAAAGCAGTTGCTTTTGTGGAATTATATTTTTCAGAACTGCTCAAAGCACCTCATCTAGATGAGTGTTTTAAAAATATATATATAAAGTCTATAAGGAGACTTTAAACATCACATATTTCACTTTTACGGGCTTTTTATCATGTATCCCTTCTGTAAAGTCCTTCAGAATAAAATAAAAATAAACTCTCACATTCCATTAGAAAAAAAAATTGAAACATTCATGGTCTGAAAATTTTCTAGATTTCCCCCAAATCTTGGTACGATGTGCAATTTCCTTACATACAGGTTTTGAGGAAACCCCTGATCACCTATCATGGGCTAGCTGGCTAATGGGCATGCCGTACAAAATTTCATAATAGTAGTAAATAGATTAAAATCTATTCCATAAAATAAAAATGTTCTATGACTTTGATTTAAATACATATCTGAAAAGCTAAAAGGAGGTCTTTTGTTTTTCAAAAGTGCTAATTATTACAAGTCTCTTCAACACATTATGTCCAGATCTTTTTAAAAAAACTAAGCCACCTTGCTTTAGGCACACAGTTTGATGAGTTTCTAAGAAGCCAAGGGAAGAGAAATCACTTGTCAATTAATCCAGCTTCCTTAATTTTACTGAAGAAGAATTTCTCCAGGATACTGGCACATTTGTAGTATTCACTCTCTGGGGGGTTGTACTCTTTGCAATTGGTAAAGACTCGCTGTAAATCAGCCATGAATAATTTCTTAGACACGTAGTACCTATTCTTGAGGCGTTCGCTCATGGTTTTCAGATCTGCACAGGAAAAAAAATATGTTAGCAATCATTGACTCCCTTTAAACACTGGGTGACAAAAACAAGACAAAAGGAAATCTCTGGTGTTGGTTTGATTACATTTTTATTATCCCAATGGCTTTAAGATAAGTAGTTCTGATCAAGGAAAACAGCTTTTAAATCTTATGTTCATTCTTTCGAGAGGGTTTTTAATGTAAAATCACAACCATTTTAGTATTAAAGGAGCCATTAATATTCATCTGGTCCAATCCTCTATTGAGCACAAAGAAGCTAAGTAGATTAGCGAGATAAGTATAAAAACCTAGCTAATGTTCGCCATCACTCAGATTTATGCAGAAGAGCCCCTATCTACAAGGAGGAAAGCAGGTGGAATGTTTGTGTTTAAACATTTAATTACTTGAAACAATCGGATTGAGTTTCTTTCACTAAATTCACAGTTGTTTGGTACTGTATATAAGAATCAAGCAGAGAAACTAACCTGTTTTTTTCTAAAGCAAGTAAGCCTGTAAGACTCCTGAAAAATATTTCCTCATATATCTACACACTCTAAGTTACATTATTCTAAATATGAACATAGTACCTCATCTAAGCTTTAATGCAAATGCAGTTTTCTCTGTTCTCAAGATCAATGTAAAGAATTCAATGCAAATTAGAAGATGGTAAAATTCCCTTGTGGGGCTTAGTTGTCTTTTAAGTCTGGATTTATCATTTAAAAAGCATAATTACAGCAACAACGTGTGGGAAAAAAATAAGTCAAAATGGCTAAAGAAACACTATGAGTACCAATACCCCAAATTCCCACTCTGCTGTCAAATTGTCCAGAGAAAAATAAATTTACAACCAAATACACTGGCATTATCATTCAATAAGATGGATAAATATGTGTATAATGAGAAGAAATTCATTTGCATCAAAATTCTAAATCCATGATTTAAAAAGTATTTTTAAAAAAATACTAAACCCACCACAAACACCAAAGAAAACATACAAAAATGGTGTTCTGCTTATCTTTAAGTCCCATCTCTGAAAGAGTGTGCATCATGAAATCTTTAAATTCAACCCTGAATTTTTTCTTCTCTAACTGACACACAGGTTGGAGCCCTCCAGGGTGAAGGGGGAGGAGGGTTTAAAAGTGTTAAGATTAAAGACTGTAGCTTCACTAAATATCTCACCCATATGTGATGGAACACAACAGCATGTTCTCTCATCTGAGGAAGAACGCGAGTCAGTCTAAGTAAAATCAGGTGCTCATATTCCCTCCACCTAAAAGCCTAACACTTAAGACATGCTGCCCTAGTCAGCATATCTTAATCCCCACTACTATAATCCCCACTGCTTGGGAAGTTGAGGCAAAAGGATCACAAATTCAAGTCGAGCCTGGACAACTTAGAATTTGTCTCAAGATTAAAAAATAAGGGCCGATGGGCTGGAGAGATGGCTCAGTGGTCTAAAGCACCTACTTAGAACAAGCTTAGCAAAGCACAGGGACCGCGGTTCAATCCCCCAGCACCACATGCCAGC